AGGGGCTAAAGGGGCAAAGGGCATGGGGGAGGGGCTAAGAGTCATGAGGGGGAGGGGCTAAAGGGGTGGGGGAGGAGCTAAAAGGTCAGGGAGGGGTTACAGGGGTGGGGGAGGAGCTAAATGGGATGGGGAAAAGGGGAGGGGCTAAACAGGGCGTGACAAAAGGGAGGAGCCAATCGTGGGCGTGGCCACATCCGCGAAAGCCAATAGGCGGCGTCCTAATGGTGAACCAGCCAACGAGAGCGTCCAACAGGGGGCGCCCTCCCCCTGACCCCGCCCCTTTCTCAGACGGCCCCGAGATGGAGGCGGAGCCAGACGAGGGGGCGGGGCCGGGGGAGGTGCTGGTGCCCGAGGGGGCGGAGTCAGCGACGCTGCGGTGCCGGGCGCGGGGCGTGCCGGGGGTGGAGCTGAGCTGGGAGAGGAACGGGAGGAGCCTGAGCCCGGGGGAGCCGGGGTGAGGGACTGGGGGCACTGGGATAAACTGGGAGGGACTGGGAGGGGAATGGGAGGGACTGGGAGGGACTGGGAGGGACTGGGGGGGACTGGGAGGGACTGGGAAGGGGTTAAAAAGGAATTTGGGGTTACTGGTTTATACTGGGAGGGGCATTGTGAGTACTGGGATCCCACTGGGCAGTAACTGGGCCATACTGGGAGCACTGGGCTGTACTGGGAGCACACTGGGAGATCATTGGTCCATACTGGGAGCACTGGGATACTGGGATCACACTGGGCTGCACTGGGAGCACTGGTCCATACTGGGCGGTCACTGGCTCATACTGGGAGGTCACTGGGAGCACTGGGATGACACTGGTCCATACTGGGATCACACCGGGCGGTCACTGGGCCATACTGGGAGGTCACTGGGCCATACTGGTATCACACTGGTCCGTACTGGTCCGTACTGGTTTCCCCCCCCTGCTCAGACCGGCCGGACCCGCCGCGGGCGCTGCGCCTCTCGGGCCGCTCGGGCTCCTGGCTGGGCCTGGCCTGGGAGCCGGGCTGGGACGGGGGCCTGCCCCAGCACTTCCTGCTCCGGTAGGGGGCGCCCCGCCCCGCTCCCGCCCCCACTTCCGGTCCCGTGAAGCGGCCCCCGGGGCCCTCCCGGTGGCTAAACCCCAACTTCCGGTTGTGTTGCGTCACTTCCGGTCCGCCCACGCGAGCTTCCGGCCCCAAAATTCTGTTACTTTCTCTCCCCACCCCAACTTCCGGTTCTGTTGTGTCACTTCCGCCCCGCCCACACGCGATTTCCGGCTCCGTTAATGGTTCCCCGCGTGGCCCCGCCCCCTTTTCTCCTCCCCACGGGGTTTCCCGGCCCCTCCACCTT